TACTTAGTGATTAACTTATTAATAAAACTGATTATTCGTTATGCGAGTATGATTTATGTATTAATAAAATTAGTTATTTGTATATATACATATTTTCTTTTGCTTCTTTATTAGTTTAATGAATTATATATCTTAATAGTTTTTTTTAGATGAAAGAATTATTTTAGTATTTGTTTTATATTTATCTGTTGAGAAAAGTTACACACTACAAATTTTTTTTTTATAAATTCAAAATAAATGTTAAAAACTCATAAATTCACCCAAAATGATATGATAGTAAAATTGAAGTCTACATCATTGGTTGTGTAACAAATTAAAAAATAATACATAACATATTACATAATTCTATTATATACCTAATGATTTATTCTATTCAATTTTATAGAACAATATTTTAATTTTAAAAAAATTATTAAAATACAAAACTTAAATATATTGTAATAACAGCCCATATCTTGCACGGGCCTTCTTAAACTAATATATATATATATATATATATGTATATTGTTTTTGTTTTGAAGATTGTTACAATACATTACATTGTAGAATGCAAGTATATATCATACAATATTGTCTAGGTTACTGATTTGAACAAACGATTTGCCATTTTAATAATAATAATGAAAAACTACTATGTTTATGGACTTATTGTATATATCGCAGACATAGCTGAGTGTGATAGGGCCAAACTGTTTTTTGTCTTATTTATCAACTTTTTGCATGTGGGCTTGAATACTAGTAGTAGTGAGTCGTTTAGTTTGACAATTTCAGTTCTGGAATAAGCTCTCTCTCATCACCATTACTCTTACATATCGAGCATCGGAGCTAATCAGAAAATGATATTATCCACACCCACCTCCTTATCATCACTTATCATAAGAAAGTGATGTATTTTTGTGGTGCATAAGTTACAAATGTTTATACATTCTCGTTTGAGAACATGCTAATTTAGTAACTTTTTGGCTATTTGACTAAAAAAGTAGGTAAAAAAACTTATATGTTTGGGATGACTTTTTGGCTAATTACGAAAAGATGTGCAAAAAGTAGAGAGAAAAGAGAATCTTTGACTTTTTTGTATGAGTTGTTGACTTTTTGACTAAAAAGGTAACTTTTTGACTTTTTAGCTAAAAAGGTAAGTCCCCAAACGTCAGTCCCCAAAAAACAAAAGTTAGAATGTTTATGCTATGTAAAAAGCACTCGGATCCCTTATGATTGGTAATGTTTATGGTTATGTATTATACCATTTTATGATAAAGATTACAAGTGAAAAATTTATGGTGTCCATTCTTAAGGTGGAAAGATACAAATCATTGTCAAGAAAGAAAGTGATACATAAGCGCATTTTGTAGACTCAATTTTTAGATCTAGTGATGTGTCAACAAAATGATTAGTTAATATTTACAAAATAAATAAGAAAGACAGTTGACTTAAATATTTTAATAGAATGTCACACTATTGAGTATAGAGAGTGAGTCTAATTTTTAGATCTAAATAGCAATATACTCTTATTGGGAATTATTTGTAATGGAAAATGTTTCAACATATTATAATGTTTGCCATAGAAGATTTACGTTTTGTTATGATATAATAATGTCCTATGAACCATAACAACTGTCTTCGTCATATCCAATCTTTTATCTCATGGTACAACTGGCATCTCATAACGTTATTCATAATGCCATCACATACAACCCAATCCCCTCCCTCAAAAGAATAACAATAATAATAATAATAAATAGATAAAATAAAATCAAGCAAAGCAAAAAAAAAAATTTAAAAAATGTGTCGAAGATGGCATAAAGACGTTGAAATCTAAGTAGATGGGGAAAGCACATATGGGCCTATATAGACACGTGTTGGAAAATTTTATTATTAAAATTCAAAAAAAAAAAAATACACATAAATCCATCAAAATGATGTGACTACGATATTAATATTTCTAAAATTAAGAATCGTTTGGGACGTTTGTTTTTAAATAAATGAGAAAGTTTAGTGCTCATAAAATTTTATAAAATGTGACACAAGAATGAGATAAGGAGTGGAACATATTCTGTTAAATGAGTGGAACGCATTCTGTTAAATTATTGATCATGTTGGGAAAGTTGGTTAAGGGTTTTTTTTAGACTAAAATTTCTAACAAGACAAAATAAGTTAATATCACATCAATTCCATAATCTTTTAACTTTTTCTCTCACAAATATAACATCTAATTACAAAAAAATCTAACTATTTTTTCAAATATAAAAATTTTAACCTACTAAAATAGTCAATGCTCCAAACGAGGCTATTATGTGTCCAAACATATCTGAAAATGAATTGCTCCAATTCAACGACATTATTTTGTACACAAGTTGTTTATATATATGTTTTTCTGATGATGAAAATGATGCTGTATAATAGGTGAGGCCATTATGTGTCCAAGCATATCTGAAAATGAATTGCTCCAATTCAACAACATTATTTTGTACAAAAGTTGTTTATGGCTCCGTTTGGAAAGTTGGTTTTGAAGTTTTTTTGGTTAAAATAGCCACAAAAAATAAAATAGACTTTTTAACCCAATAAGATAAAATATCACATCCAACCCATAATCATTACATTCTTTTTCTCACAAAAAAGTTAAAAAAAACCAAAAAAACCAAAAGTTCTTCCCAAACTAAGCTTTTTAACCCCAAGCTAAAATAGTCAAAAAAATCAAAAAGGCAACTCACTTCCCAAACGAACCCTATATATATGTTTTTCTGATGATGATGATGATGCGGTATAATAAGTGTTACATGATATGATGATGCTATATATATATCTAAATGGGAAAGCCTATGATTCTAGAGGTGTTGTACCCTATTACAAATTGACGTAATATCAATAATAAAATACGTAATTTCATTATAAATTAACATAATAAAATGTTCAAAATTTTATAATTGATGTTACAAAAATTTGTAACTTGATTAAGACAGTTTTTTTATTACGCCAATTTATAATGAAATTGCACATTTTATAATTGATATTATAAAATTTTATAATAAAATTATATCAATTTATAATAAGGTACATACAACATGCACCCCTATAGTGTTTCCCCATATAAATACATGTGGAAATGTTCATTTTGTGATGCATTATGGGATTATTTTTATAATCTAAACCGTTCATTTTGTAGGATTTGTTGAGTACTTCAAGCCTACCAAAAATCATATTAATCGGATATCAACAATTATATGATCGAATTGCATATTTTTATACTATTTTTCAAAAGAAAAACTTCTTGTTTGTTTTTTTGGTTATCAATCATATAATTATTGGTATTCGATTAATATGATTTTTGGTAGGCTTGAAGTACTCAACAAACCCTACAAAATGAACGGTTCAGATCATAAAAATAATCCCATAATACATCACAAAATGAAGCACAACAGTCACTGCTGTGCCTTTGCCACAGCAGTGACCACCTACCCAAAATGGGGGCCTAAGAAACCAAAGGGGGCAAATAGCACTAGGCCATGTCATTTTGCCGTTGCAAAAAGGGTATATGTCATCTCATGTAATTAATGTTTTTTTTTTTAATAACGGAGTCTAAAACAGTTTATATACACTTTGATTAATTTTAAAAGGCCAAATCCACTGCCCACTTGCAAGAATTCTATTTAAAATCTGAACAAACCCTGTACGAACTAATCTCAAGAAATTTGTTACAATTAGTAATATTAAACATGAGACCTGGAGACAACACATTCTCAGGTCCAAATTATGCCTTAACGTGTGTGTGTGTAAGAGAGATCATTAACAATGGAGTTATGTAACCAAACCAAACCATACCCATTTGCGTGACTTGCTCTTTTTTTTTTTTTTTTTTGGAAGGAATAGTGAGTCGCCAAGTTGTAACAAGAAGAAGTATCAACATTGTTTGAATAATATTTTATTTTATATATATGTACAAAAAAAAAAAAATTCCCAACTTTGTGAACTCAAAAATATTGTTTCAATCTCCTCGTGGACTCAAAATTTACTTTGTTGATTTGCTTCTTGTTTTTATACATTATACGATGTTTAGACGATTTCTTTAGTCTTTTTTAGCTTCTTCTTATTATTATTATAAGTAAGCGCATAATAGATAAAAGGGCAAATTTTACTTTACTCCATTTGGTTTGGGTCACATGCGTTTTATCCGGGAGCTTCTATATGCACACACCATATCCCCTCTTTCTACACACTTAATGAGAGTGTGTTGGGAAGTTGTGTGTGAAGGATGTGTATAGAGAAAGAGTGGTGTGTGTAAATAGTTACTCCCGCTTTATCCTCTTTAACATTTGAAATGACCACATAATCCCTACATGATTTGTAGACTGAAGTGTACCAGTAAACATTTCACCCAATTTAACAGCAAGTGTGAAACACAACATTCCGTTCAACCTAACAACAAGTATGATACACGTGACAAACATAAGAGGTTATATGTACATTTTCAAATTTCAATAGAATAAATCGCACATGGAATAAAGCACATGGGTTAAAGTGCATTTTGTCTTCCAAACAAATGACAAAAATTCAAGAATATTTTAGTCTTTTTTATTAAATTGTTGACGGACTTAACGTTACATTTCAGTTTACATGATCAGTTTTAAACGTTAGACGATAAACCGTACATGACCCAAATCATAAAGGGTAAAGTGAGGTTGCCCTAGACAAAAACATACAAATATATAGGAGTATGAACAGCAAAGGAATTGGTGTCATTATTATTTAATTAGGAATCTAGTAACAACAACATACTTAAATCCTTGCTTAGGGCAGTGTTCATATCATATATACAACTACTAACCATCAATCAACTATATGTATCTTTCCTATATTCATAATTTATTTCTTTTTCTTTCTTTAATTTTTAAATTTATAAAAAAAACCAATAAGCAAGCTGTCTTCATTTAAACCTAACCAGCATCTAACACGTAAATATCTATGTGGCGCAATATAAACACACACACGAGGGCACGCACACAATATATATATATATATAAGCAGCAAGAAGCGGCCGGCTCCTCATCATAGACCTCTCTCTCTCTCTCTAGAGTATTCATGGCTTCAATTACAATGAAAAAGGTGGAAAGGATCAGGCAAATAGTAAAGCTAAAACTAGTGATGAAGAGGTGGAAGTCCATAAGCCTCAAGCGCAGTGGGAAGCTACTCTCTTCTTCCTCTAATAATAACAATGACAATGGCGTCTTCTTAGACTCCTACAATGGTACCAGTACTAGTACCGACACTGCTGTTTCTTCTACTCATCAAAATCACATCCCTCTGGGCTTCCTTGCTGTCTACGTTGGATCAGAACGAGAGCGGTTCTTAATCCCAACTCGGTTCTTGAACCTTCCCATCTTCAAATGCCTTTTAGAGAAGGCTGAAGAAGAATATGGGTTCAATTTCACCGGAGGGATAGCACTGCCATGCAAGGTCGCCTTCTTCAGGATAGTATTGAAGCATCTTGAGAAAGACGAACACAAGTTTGGTGGGTTGAAATTAGATGAGTTCTTGAAGATGCGCTCAAAAGTAGTCAGTACTAGTACTACTACTACTAGTACAAGTACTAGTTTTGATTGTTCATGCAGCAAGCAAGTTAACAACTCTTCTCCTTGTCATTCCTTCACTCCTGTGTTGCAGAAATCGAGGGTTTAGGTTGAAACCACCTTTTTTTTTTTGCGATAAATAAAGGCAATTTATTAACGAACGAGCATGAAGACGATGCAAAAAATACCGCTGAGATTATCAACAAAACCCAAAAACTAAGCATGAAGAACATCTATAAAATCCACAAAAGCAAACAAATCTGGAGGCAATAGTACTCGTCACCCAACTATACAGAATCACCAGAAACTGTGCCTTCATCCAAGCCATTGGGTCATCCACTCCTTGAAAAACGCATCGGTTCCATTCCAACCAAATCATCCGCATTAAACACAAAGGTGCCAAAGTCCATGCCTTCCTACACCTCTTCCCCCCCAAGTGTGATTGATGCCCCTTTTGTTTTTTGTTTTTTTAAAGGTGACTGATGATATTGTCTTTTATCTGTTCTATTTCATTTTCAAATTTCAACATTCCTTGAGTCTGTTGTTGTGGTTCGGTACTTGGGTTGGGTCTAGTCTGAGATGTCAAATGTGATGTAGAAAGATAATAAATTATTGTACTTGTTATGATTTTGTAAGAATTCATTGTGTTTAAAGAAAAGGCTGATTGTGTCCAGTGTTTGATGTTAAATGGAGTATTACTTTCTATGGTGGTGACAGTTAATTTTGATTATTACAATATTAAAATTTAGAAATATTATTTATCGGTCAGGGTGGGGACAGCACTTCAAGATTGGAGTGTCCATAAGAATAATAATAGGTGAGTCACATAGTGTGGGTAGCTCTAACCGGATCGGGTTATAAAGGGTTTGTAATAAATTTTGAATTGCTTTAGTTTTGGGATTTTTAATACATGATTCCTGAATTTATCTACTCCATGTTATTTATGAAATAATCAATCAATTAATGCTCAACCCTCTTACGAGCTATTTTTTAAAGATTTTTAGCATTTTTCTTAATTAAATATAATCACTAAAATACTACTCATTATAGGCCAATAAACACCCTCACATTTCCAATTTAACTTGAATCATATGTATATAAAAAATAAAAATAAAAAGCACACACAAATGGGTGTTGTATTAAATCCAAACTTGAAAAGCAGGCAAAGATGTTTTAATTGGCTTTTTATTACCAAAAAAAATAATAATTAAATATTATTCGTATCATCTATCACCTTCAGCTCAAACAAAAACATTAAAAGAGGGTGGATTACATAACTTCATTTCAAGCTCATAAAACTTAAAAGAGCACATATACCTGATGTGGGATGGATTGACTGACATGATTCTCTTGAGGGAAGGCTACAAAAATATGGAGAAGACAACCGAAATACACAGTACAAAGACTCTGTTTTGCAAACTAAGAATTTTGGGCTGAATTTAAAATTAAAAAGAGGGCCCAAAATAAAGCATACAACAAGGAAATCAATTCCTTTGGGCCAATCCAACAATCAGCCCAAGTCAGCCAGGCGGAGCCCAGCAGCCCAAAGCCTCAAGGACCGCCTAGCCCAGCGACGCAGCCAAGCAGCCCAAAGCCGCGGCCCAGCGTCTCATGCCCAGATCGGCGCGTTGACCCTCCGCGCTCGAACTCGCGTCCGTCTGCTCCGCACGACCCGCGCACTGATCCGTGCGTTGACCAGCAGTACAAGCCGGTTCAACCCAAACCTTGAACTGGTAGCAGCTTGGTTCAAGGGGTTTTTCGACTCGTTCTCGCTCATTTCAAGGCCGTTTTCAGTCATTCAAAAGCCAAAATTTTCAAAAAAAATTTAAGAATTTTTCTGTGGGTACTTGTACTACATTTTCAAAAGAAAAAATTCAAGGAGGAGGCTATCCAAGGGTGTTACCAAGGAAAACATCCAAAGAAACATTGTTTAAAAGGCACCATTGTGTTCCTTGGGCACGTAACTATTATTACAATACTCATAAGCAAAGTGTTGGGTTTAAAAGGCCATTGGGTTTTCATCATTCTTCTTACCCAAGGCAACAAAACTATTCCATTCCTTCACATCATCTTCATCACAGGGGCCGATTCAATAACTACAAGGCTTATCCTTATTAAGACCTGTTGTTGTCTTTAATTTTGCTTATTTTTATTTTTTATTTTAGTATTGTAATATTTACATTTGAATTTTCATATTCACATTTGAATTTTCATAATAATACATTTTGTTTTTAATATGGCTATTAAAAATACCATAGATTCTTCAAGAATCGAGATGCTTAATGGAAATAATTTCCGAGCATGGAAACGCCATATTTCTTATCTTCTTACACATGAAAAAACATTGCATACTTTATCCACTTCTAAACCAAATGATGATTCTAATTAGTTCCAAAATAAATGGATAGAAGATGATGCAATGGCAAAGGCAACTATGTTACATAATATGAAAGATGACATTATTCCGCTTTTTGAAGAACATGAAACTGCAAGACAATTAATGGAAGCACTAGAAAGTAAGTATGGAGTTCAATCGGATACTCAAATTCAATTGCTCTTGGACAAATATAATAACACTCGTATGAGTGATAATGATAGTGTTGGTGATCATGTTAATCAAATAGAATTAATTGCTAAAGAATTATCCAATGCTGGTCACTCTTTGTCGGACAAAATGCAAGTAACTACCATACTTAATAGTCTTCCATTGTCTTGGGATCATGTTATCACATATTTAACTCATAGCGGACGAGGAATTTCAATGGTAACATTGTCTGTACTCTTAGTTTTGGAAGAAGAAAGAATGAAGCGCAGGCGTAAAAAAAGTTTGTCTTCTAACTTGTTGATAGCACAATCTACACCACAACCACATAATAATACCCACACACCATTCAACAAGAAAAAGACGACTTCTTTCAAGAAAAAATGGAATAAGGGATTTCAGAAAAGATGGAAGAAACAGCAAGAATGACAAAAATAACATCACAAGCATCAAATTGGCTCATGTTACAAGTGCGGTCAAAAAAGTCATATCAAAGCCACTTGTCCTCAGAAGGTATATATATGGATAACAGTAGTAATTTTTGGGATAAGTTTGGAGAGTCCATGATCCCCCTTCATCCCTAACTCCTATTTGTCACTGAATATTTTACAATTTTAATTAAACAGTGTATGTGTGGGTAGAATTCGAAAGTTATATAAGTGGTGAAAAATTCACATGAAATATTTTAGTAATTTGTAATTTTTTACCCTTACATTCTATTTATTTGTAAATTTTACTTTGAAAAAATTAAGACATGTCGGGTCAAGTTACCCTTCCCCCACATTTGACCCAAACTTGATCAAAATTTTTATTTCCAATCTCAGAACTTACTATATTTAAAAAAAATAAATAAATAATCCAAACCCATTCCATTAGGATCCGGAAGGTCAGGGACCAGGTTGGATTTTTCTACTATCCCTATTCCCTACTTTGTTCCAGCATTGGTAGACTATCACATTCATATAATGACTATAGATAGAGAGCATTTTTTTCTAACATTTCTTATTTTCTTTTTCAATCAACCAAACAACAAGAAACCTCAAATCCTTTCTTCTAGGGGAATCCAATAATCCAATTCTCTTTTGTCCTCCTCCCTTTCCTTTCCTTTCCTCTCCTATCCTCTCCTCTCCTCTCCTCTCCTCCTACGATCCTATCAATACATAACAACATATATTAGGCACTCTTCCCTCCCCCTTCCTTATTAGTTCTAGGTCTTCACAACGTCATTTCCAACCTTTATTTATAAAATTGAATAAAAATTGAAATACATTTGATATGGAAGACAAACTCAAATTTTGAGTAAAAAACTATCAAGTTTTGAATGGATGGTAAGAAAACTTTGAATAAAAGAAACCTATATTTCAAGTTTTGATTGGGTTGAAATTTGAGTAAATGAAACGAGTCTTGTCAAAATTTGGTAAAGACTCCAATTTGGTATTAATTTAAGGTGAATAAAGGAGTGGAGAGCGGACTTTAGTGATTTTTCACTCAAATAATTTTTAAGATTTGGAATAAGGATTGAAGACGTTCTAATAAGATGAGATGCTCAACAAAACATGCAGTTGTTAATGTAAAAGATAATTGGGAGATTTGAGATTTGATCGATAGACAGGATGGTGTTGGTGCTAAAAGTTGGATTCCTCCATCAATAGGGTGCAAACAAGACATAAGGAATGACATGGCGTAGGTGACGTGGAAAGAACATAAAGTATTGGCCAAGATGGCGTGAACAAATGCTGGGATAAGAGATAAAGAAGAAACCGATCAAAGAGGAATTTGAAATTCAAATACAACTCCTGGAATGAAAGGATAAGCATGTAGAGAATGCGAGGATCTAGGAAGATCAAGATCAAGATCAAGATCGAGAGCCTAGTCAAGAAACCAGTATAAAAGAAAGCTGAAGCCAGAAGAAAAACATCTCAAACCTCATTCACAAAATGTGATATTTATCTAGGAATAGGTTATCTTAGCACTTTTAGGAGTAGAACAGTGATAGATTTTTCCAACCTCCACTTCTCTTCTTCTATCGATTACTGTATTTTTTCAATCTTTTGTTCTTGTTTAAGTTCTTGTAACTAGTGACAAGTAACAATTCATTCGAATTAATACATATTCTTTTTTGTTCTATCTCTTCTTTGCCTAATTACCTCCAGGAAAGTCCTTAATCTGTTTAAGGTATAGAACTCAACCACAAAGCCTAATTTTTTATTTGTGTTTACTTGAAATTTATTTGAGTCTGTCCATCAAATCATTGTCGATTAGGCTTAAACTAATTTTTTACCAACATAAATTGGCACGTCTAGTGGGACCATTCTAACTTGGAGTAATGATGAAGAAGAAAACTGAAAAAACTGAGACTGCTGATGCTAGCAAGAAAGTTACTGATGAGTCAGGCCTTCTAAGAGATCCAAGTAAGAGGCATTGTTGATAACACAGGGGTTCCTACTGGTTTCCCTGAATTTGGGGAAGACATGGATGTCATTGGGGACAGCCAGTCACTAGTAGCTAGATACGGGGAGAAGTTGAGAGATGGACAAGACG